ACAAGCCAGTACACACAGTTCCAGATGGAATTAACACCCACAGCTTTATTTTGGACAAGGACCTTGGTGACTTGTCTTTAACCCCTTAAGGACACATGACATGTGTGACATGTCATGATTCCCTTTTATTCCAGGAGTTTGGTCCTTAAGGGGTTAAACATGTCTTTAAACATGTGGTGAAAAGCATTTAAAATGAAAATATACAGAAAATATAGAGAATTATAATTAATACATGAACCAAATAATACAAGAACAATTTCAAACACAATAAAAAGTCAACAATATATGCATTTAACTACTTATTTGGTTGCCATAATTTGCAAACCAGAATTATGTAAATGTCACACCTCTATTCAGTCAGCAGAGGGCGCTGCAGAGTTATAAAACTAACAATCTATAGTTTGCTTTTTCAATTACTGCCCTCATAAACCCCATTTCAGGCACTCTTGGAGACTAGGCCCATATTCTATGGGCAAGAGGCTGGCCTTCAAGCAGTGGCGGCTCTAGACTTTATGAGGCCTTAGGCGAAACTCAAACAAGAGGCCCCCCCACTAATACTCATAGTAAAAAACATATAGGGGTTGCATTGTGTGTATAATGAGCTGTTGTTATATTGAATGACAGGCTTGCAGTGCTGGATACAGAGAGCTAGTCTCTGTATTCAGTGTTGGGGTGAGTGTGGCACGGTTGAAGGAGAAAAAGTGACAGGGCAAGGGGAGGTAAGAGTGACAGGATGAGGGAGGGTTATGTGACAGGGTGAGTGTGGCATGGCTTGGCAGGATGAGTGACAGGATAGAAGTTAATGTGATAGGGTGAAGGGGGATGAGTTTGACAGGGTTGGGGTTATGTGTTACACGGCTGGAGGAGGAAGTGTGACAAGGCGAGGGAAAGTGAGTCGGACAGGATTATGTGACAGGGAGAGTGTGGCATGGTTGGGCACAAGTGAAAGGGTTAATGTGAAAGGGTTGGGGGTGAGTGTGACAGTATGAGAGAAGATGAGTTTGATAGGGTGAGTGTGGAAGAGCGAGGGCTGGTAATTGTGGTATGGATGGAGGGGGTGAGAGCGACAAGATTAGGAGAGGTTAATGTGAGCGAGGCTGGGTGAAGAAGGCATGACAGCATGTGGGGGGTGACAGTATGTGTGTGGAATTGTGACGGTGGGTAGGTGAGAGTGTGGGAGGCAGTGTTGGAAACAGTGACTGTGTGGGAGGAGTGACTGTATGTATTGGTGACATAGTGTTGGGGGCTGACAAAATGGGGTGCAAGTGTGTGAAAGGGTAACAGGGTGAGGGAGCAGTGTGGAGGAATGTGACAGTTTCGGGGGCAGGGTGTGAGTGGGTGACAGTGAGGAGGAAGATGACAGTGTGGGGTGGCAGTGTGGAGGATGGTGACAGTGTGGTGGGGGGGACAGGGTGTGTTACAGTGTGGGAGGGCAGTGAGGGTGGGAGGGCAGTGTTGGGGCAGTGAGGGTGGGAGGAGCAGTGTAGCAAGGTAGGCAGTGATAGGGGAGAGGCAGTGATGGGGCAGTGAGGTGAGGCGTGATAGGAGGCAGTGAGAATTGGGTAGGCAGTGATAGGGGAGGCAGTGATAGGGGAGGAGCAGTGATAGAGGCAGTGAGGTGGGAGAGGCAGTAGAAAGGGAGCAGTGAGGAGGGCAGTGATGGGGGAGGGCAGTGATGGGGCAGTGAGGGTGGAGTAGGCAGTGATGGGGCAGTGATGGGGAGGGCAGTGATGGGGCAGTGAGGTGGGTGGGCAGTGATGGGGAGGGGCAGTGTGTGGGGCAGTGAGGTGGGTGGGCAGTGATGGGTGGGAGGGCAGTGATAGAGCAGCAGTGATGGGGAGGGCAGTGATGGGAGGCAGTGATGGGGAGGGCAGTTATAGGGCAGTGAGGGTGGGTGGGCAGTGATGGGAGAGCAGTGATGATGGGGCAGTGAGGGTGGGAGTGCAGTGATGGTGGGAGGGCAGTGATGGGGCAGTGATGGTGGGAGGGCAGTGATGGGGCAGTGAGCGTGGGAGGGCAGTGAGGGTGGGAGGGTAATGATGGGGCAGTGAGGGTGGGAGGACAGTGATGGTGGGAGGGCAGTGATGGGGCAGTGAGGGTGGGAGGGCAGTGATGGTGGAAGGGCAGTGATGGGGCAGTGAGGGTGGGTGGGCAGTGATGGTGGGAGGGCAATGATGGGGCAGTGAGGGTGGGTGGGCAGTGATGGGGACAGTGTGTGTGGAGGCTGTGACAAGCCTCCACACACTGAAATACCTTTTTCTTGAAATATAATTCCCTGGTGGTCCAGTGGCAGCAGTCCCTGGTGGTCCGGTGGGATGACTTCCGTCTGCAGCTCCGCGAGAGCTGCAGACCTCGTTCTCGCAAGCGCCTGTCAGAGCGTTGCCGTGGTAACCCGCGGCAATGCTCTGTGTGCTTGCGAGAACCTTTTTACATGATCTGCAGCTCTGCACTCGGCGGAGCTGCAGATCAGCGGCTGGCTCTCCGTGTGGGCAGACCATGTGGAGGGGCCACCCGGCGGCATACTGGGCAAGCCACCGGGCCCCCTCTCACTGTCGGGTCCTCGCCATGGACTGAGGACCCAACAGTTCAGTCTGCCCCATGGAGATTTAGGCTGCCGCGAGGCCCCACACAGCGCGAGGCCTTAGGCGGCCGCCTAAATCGCCTAATTAGAGAGCCGCCTCTGAAACCAACCTACTGACATATGTGTTGGAGAAAGATATAATCTAATGTGAGCCTTCGAGGGCTAAAACGCCTAAACTAAATAAAGATATGTAATAAGTATAGGCTATGGATAACCTTACTGCCTAATCTAAAGACTAATATAAGCCTTCGAGGGCTACAACATCTAGACCGCTGCCTAAATGGTTTCTAGGAGAATAAGTTAACACTTGACACAGCTGAATCCTAATATAGCATCAAGCTAAATTAATTGAATATCCTAAAATACCAAAACTAGGAAAATTAAATAAACACTCGCCCATAGTGAGAAAAATATAGAAAGACATAGTTAAAAAAGCGTAAAAATGCCAGGTGCGTGTTTCGGCGTTAGAGTGCTGCGCCTTCGTCCGGAGCAAATCGTGAATGACCCCTTAATCATCAGCCAGCCTTTCAAATATAGGTGCCGAAAAACACAATCCGCCCTCTTATTTGTGCTGACCAATCAGGTACTAATGAGGCTGGGTTAGCGCTAGGTGAACGTCCTCCTTTCTTGGATATCGGGAGTAAGCATAAGCAGACCGGAGCTTGCAAAGATAGAAGTCGGCAAAACATTAAATGTTTTAAAATTATATATTTCTCTGCCTTATTCAATCCACCTTTTTTTTGTCAATGCTCTAAAGGCATATGGGATAAAGGAATGTCCAAACTGTCTTAAGGAAAAAACATTTCAACACACTGGGTTGTCGTATGGATATATATTGGTAGGTGATTACGCAATCACCGATATACGGCATAACTGTAATAAACCACAACCTTGTCTCATTTCAGACTTTAAGTTAAATAAGGAGGAAGGAAAAGAAGAAATCCTCCCTTCTTAAAATTCTAAAGTATTAAATATTTATTCTAGTGTAACTGTTGGATAATCCCTTTTATCTACTCCGATACTCATCCAATGTCTATATATTGCTGTGATACACCTAGCTTTAATCTAAGCGGTCTATAGAAAATTAATCAAAATATGTGCCGAGGGAACCTCATGGAGATTCCATTTAATCAGTTAGTATTATTTAAGAGGGCTGCACTTACCTGCACATGCATACATTATAGGGTGCTTCTGGGGCCAATATATACAACATACACAATCCAGAGCACTCGCTAATTCACTAAACAATGATTTCAAATCTCACATATTTTAATAGTTTTATTTAAAAAAATTGATTGATCAGTATTGCTTCAGACCTGAGGAAGAGAGGAAAGCTCTTGAAAGCTTGTCTTTGAAATATTATGTTAGTTCAATAAAAAAGGTATCATTGCATACTGCAATACTCTGGTATTTTGGCATCTTGTCTACTGGACTAATACAGCTAATCCAATTTACACTACTATATATTTACATAGAGAGAGACAGACAGAGAGGGAGAGAAAGAGTAATGAAGATAGGGCTGTACTCACGGTCTTCCAAAAAAGAATTACATTCATTGAAGTAACTTAGAAACATAGAATGTGATGGCAGATAAGAGCCATTCAGCCCATCTAGTTTGCCCAATTTTCTATATACTTTCATTATTCTCTTCTAGCTAGGATAGCCTTGTGCCTATCCCACGCATGCTTAAACTCCCTCACCATGTTAACCTCTACGATTTCAGATGTAAGGTTATTCAATGCATTAACTACTCTCTCAGTAAAATAATACTTCCTGATATTATTTTTAAACCTTTGCCCCTCTAATTTAAGACTATGTCCTCTTGTTGTGGTAGTTTTTCTTCTTTTAAATAAACTCTCCTCCTTTACGGTGTTGATTCCCTTTATATATTTAAATGATTTTTTTTTATCATATCCCCCCTGTCTTGTCTTTTCTCCAAGCTATACATGTTAAGATTCTTTAACCTTTCCTGGTAAGTTTTACCCTGCAGTCCATGAACCAGTTTTGCAGCCCTTCTCTGCACTTTCTCCAAAGTATCAATATCCTTCCGGAGATACAGTCTCCAGTACTGCGTACAATACTCCAAGTGAGATCTCATCAGTGTTCGGTGCAATGGCATAAGCACTTCCCTCTTTCTACTGCTAATACCTCTCCCTATACAACCACACATTCTGCTAACATTTCCTGCTGTTCTGTTACATTGTCTGCCTACTTTTAACTGATCTGAAATAATTACCCCTAAATCCCTTTCCACAGATGTTGAGGCTAGGACTGTATAAAATATTTGATACTCTGCCCTTGGGTTTTTGACGTCCAAGATGCATTATCTTGCACTTGCTCACATTAAATGTCAGTTGCCACAGCACCTGGAACATCAAATCTGTTGCACATTTTTGTATTATTATTATTTTATTATTTCTATGGCGCCAGAAAATTCCGTAGCGCTGTACAATGGGTGGACTAACAGACACGTAATTGTAACCAGACAAATGGACGTACAGGAACAGAAAGGTTGAGGGCCCTGCTCAATGAGCTTACATGCTAGAGGGAGTGGGGTATAGTGACACAAAGGGTATAAGTAGGGGTAATGAAATAGGTTGCTAGAAAATTATTCACTAAGTTATTTTTGACAGTTGCAGTAGAGGAGTCATGGTGGGGGGAGGGGATGAAAACCTGCTAACAGTTTAAATGATATGCTTTCCTGAAGAACTGTGTTTTCAAAGATTGTTTGAAGGAGTGGAGACTGGGTGAAAGCCTAACGGAGAAGGGAAGGGAGTTCCACAGAAAAGGTGCAGCCCTGGAGAAGTCTTGGAGGTGAGCATCAGATGTGGGAGTACGGACAGAGGACAGACATAGGTCTTCGGCGGAGTGCAGAGGCCTCAACGGGACATACTTGTGTATTAGGGAGGATAGGTAGGTATCATCAGCAAAAGCTGAAATCAACATACCTTACCTTCAAAACCTTCTGCAATATCACTAATAAAAATATTGAAGAGAATCGGACCAAGTACAGAACCCTGAGGTACCCCACTGGAAACAAGACCTTGGTTCAAATATACTCCAATGACTACAACTCTCTGTTGCCTATCACTCAGCCACTGCATCAAATATTGCAGTCTATTGATAAGCCTTTTAAGACCCTGAGGAGTCAGGCAAGGCCTAGACCAGTGATGGCTAACCTTGAAACCATAAATTGTTTCTGGACTACATTTCCCATGATGCTCAGCTAGCTTTAAGACTCTAAAAGCTAGCTGAGCATCATGGGCAATGTAGTTCAGAAACAATTTATGGTGTCAAGATTAGCTATCACTGGCCTAGACAGAACAGGGACATGTGAGTGTGAGGGGGGGTGTATAGATAGAGTGGTAAGGAGGTCTTTAAATGGTGGGAGGAGTATTAAGAGGCATAGGGGTAGGTTAGTATAAATAGGTAGGCAGCTTACAGGATAACAGCCATCTTAATTATCAGTTGATAACAAATCCCGCCCTTCCTCCCTCCCCTTATTTGTTTCTTATTTATGTTTGTCTGTCTGTGTTGTTTTTAGTCACATCATGGCGGTATATGGCCCTTGTCAACCGTGGGTTGGACCAGCAGTCTGTGGAAGTGGATGGGTAGGGCTCCCCTCCCCTTACCTCAGGTACTGTTATGGATAACAGACGTGCCCACTGAGCCAATAATCAGCGAGTGGTTAGCATTACGAGAATGGAAGGCCCAGGAAAAGGCCTTGT